ACTCGAAAAGCTTCTTCTCACGAACTACTCTCTTGTGGAACCGACTCCCAACAGGATGTTTCCCCGATCACTACAATATTAACCTGTTCAAGATAAGGGTAAACCGTTATCTTCTACTTATATACACACAAATGGCCTCGTAACGTAACTCCCTAGCTCGAGTGGCCACCGAACCTTGTAAAGTGCGAACCTAACTCTAAAAGTATATTATATGGGAAGAACAGTCACGTCACGTATATTATAGGGACCTACCCTTATTCCCTTCATATTCCTTTAGTAAGGAGTAAGTTCCAATCTGAAAGCTTCCTCCCAAGAACTTTGCGGAACAGAATTCAACGAGGATGCTTTCTCGACCACTACGATCTTAACCACTTCAAGTTTAGCGTTAACCATTATCTTTCCTCCATATCCGCATAAGCTACGCGTCTTACTGTTACCGCACACGCAACAACCGCTTTCAGTAACTGTCTACCTCGAGTGGCTATTGGGCCTTGTATCAGGTGAATACTAGTAAAAACTAACGTTACATAAGAGAGTTTATTATCTTTTTTTCAGGGAATAGTAATTGTCTGCATTTATTAATACAGTTTAAAATTAAGATTAGGATGAAAAGAAAGCGAATGAAAATATTGAACGATAGTGTTTGATGATTGTAACATATTGAGTCTTTGACATTTGTACGTGTTAGAACTGAATTTTAAGTCAGCCTAATCCGCCCACAAATGATCGCTATAGAGATAAAGGAAACATAATAGGGTCCTTCAGGACGGGTGAAATACAACAAAAATGTGATCCATTTGATAGAATCATTAAGGGTAAACATGTATCTTTAGTTAATATTAGCCTTGTTTATATGTCGACTCGAGAAACGTTTCGCGGTTAATATAACGAAGAAAATTCACGAATCTTAATTGTCTCTTTACTATTTGCTTAACAATTTGGATAGAAAACAATGAAAAGAAAAGATGATGACTGGATTTTAGTCAGCCGCAAAAGAAGAATATTTGCTCGAGGACAGTTCTGATCGATGTTTAAACAAAAAGTGTCATGAACAGAGCTAATATTAATGTGATACCCCAAACTAGTCTATTGTTTATGAAGCCATATGTAGAGTTCTTGAAATTGTTAGAGAAAAGAAGTCAGGATTTCAAGAAGGCTCGTTTAGAGTTTTCTTTAAAAAAAACTATAGGCAGGGGAAAGTGTAATCTGGTTTATTTATAGTGTTTGCAAGGAGGCGATGAAAGCTGTTAGAAGAACGGAAAGTTTTCTCTGCTTTAATCAGAAATTAAAGCAATAATTTAATATATGATTTAAAAAAAAAACTCTTTGGAAAAACGTTTCTTTGTATTTTATATTATTGTACTTGTTCCTTGTTTATAAATGATAGACAAATACTCCCGTTAGATCATAAGTTTGTATAGTGAGTTCAATTCTTATGAATTGCCGCATTCATGAGGCTTTATATTCTCCTAAGCCTAATAAAGGTCAGTTTTTACTTATAGAGAGCAATCACTATTTAGTACCTTAAATTTTCTTTCTTGTGTCAGACTTATCTAGTAACAAAAAAAAATGGTGGATTAATTGTTAGGAAGGTGCTCTTGAAGTGCTTTTTAATCTAGTAAATTTAATTTTCATCCTCTGTACCATATATTTGATCTTGTGCCAGCCTCGCTACGAATATCAATAATTATTAATCTATGCTCTAACGACTCACCTTGGAACAACGGTTAGCAAAATATATACAAATATGGCAGTGAGTTCGATCCTCACTTGGTACTTTTCCTAGAATAAGTTACCAATTCCGTACTAATGCTAAACATGATAGTTTCGTAGGCAATTACTAAAGAAGGGAATCCGATCTTCACTATTGTGTTGCGTTAAGCAAAGTTTAGTAAATGTCTATCGAAATAAATGTTTTTTAAATAACTTTTCTGGTTAAATTATGATGAATTAAGAAATATGACAGTGTTCGATTTTTTTTTTACTTTAATAGAGCTCGTTGACAGAGCTGAATAAAAATGCTGAATATAGTTCGATATTCTGAGATTAAGAATTGTCAACATTCCTTGAATTTCTCGAGGAGGTATTTCATCTTCGTTACTTTCGTCATGATATCACGGTCGACATAATTTCTTAACCTTTCTAGTATTTTCTAAATTCTAGCATGAAGTAATGTCCACTTACTCGATTTCGAGTATTCTCGTCTGTGGAGTAGCTAGCTAATTCCCATTGCAGGCACGTCTTCTCAGGAATATTTTTGTTTCTTCAACACCCACAGAGAAAACCTGTGGTTGACACAGTAACTAAGCTGAGCGAACTTTAGTTACAGTGAATGCGTATACTCTGGCCTGATCAGTAGTTGAACAAACCCATTGCTAGTGGAAGCATCAACGACTTCCAGACAGTTCCGTTTAATCAGTTTCACTCGGGAGGCTTGGGCTTAACCTGGTGGCAGAATTTTCAGGTACTTAGAAAACATACTGCCTGTTGGGATGACCTTCTGATATTTTTGAGAAGTTACTTGATAAATTGAAAATGTGGAGATTAGAAACCGGTTTTCATTGTCATAATGTTCTAACGTTCTAACCATTTGAACTCTGAACGTCATCATCATCATTCTTAGAACTCCTCCATATGTCTCGATTGTGTGTCAATGTCTAAGGTTCGACGAATAATCTTCCAGTTCCCTCAGTGAGATTTTCAGCCCTTTTTTTCCCCTTTATCTATCTCTTTTTCTTTTCCCTAAGGTAGTACATTTAGGATGGCAGTGGAAAGATTGTTAGTGCTTATAACGGGTTCCTACCATTATAACCTTTAACTTGATCATTGCGAGGAAGTAATATTATTCCAAGAATTATTCTGATTATAAGGATATTCTTTCTTTCATTCTTTTAGAATCTAATATTTAAGAAATCATATAAAAGTATACCAATAAGGCTACGTGATCTCATTAAATATATATCATCATATGACTGATTGGACATAAAAACTTCCAAATATGAAATATTCCCCTCATCTTAAGTTTTAGGTAACATCAATTTATTTCCGTTCTAAGGGGTGTAATTTGGTTGCAATGATTCCTGCAACAAAAATTAAGCGTAAAACCTTTCGAAAATATAATAAAAGGTAAGAGAGCCAGGTAAATATTTCACCGCGTCAGTAGTATGTTTCTGTATCTTTGTGCTGACATGTTTCTTTAGGACGGTATGCACACATCCCTTTTCTTTATTATTTTTTTAATTTCCGTGGATTCTTGGGGAAGATAAGGAAGTGGTTTCCCGTTGCATTCTTTACGGTTTTAAATTCAATTTTTTTCTTGTCAGTCAAGAGTAGAGAGCCAGTTTACCTTCCTATTTAACCCGCACCGACTGGAGAGAAAAGGCAGGTTTATTCTTTCCGCAAAGATATTTGTGCGAAAGTGAATGCAGCAAACTAGCTAGGAATTCGAACTCAGCTTGCTTATTTCATTTTTGTGTGCAAGTATCCGTTAAACGGCTGGCATATCCGTTTTCATAATTAGGAGAGTTAAACTATTCTCCCAAGTATTCGACTCGAAAAATTTTGAAAGTTTTAGGTAAGAAAAAGGAGAAATTGTTTCGAATAAATTGGCTTATTCAAAAAAATTCTTTTAATATTTACCTGTATATAACAACAGATAAACAGAAATATCCATAAATGAAGGGATATATAAGAAAACAGTGGTGTGGCAAAGAAATATGTTAAGAATATTCAGTGGTAAAAATGTGAAATAAATAGAAAATTAGAAATAATTAAATAAGAGGCAAAAAATGAAAAAAACTAATCGAAAAGATTTCAGAGGCGGAGATGAACACCGACATGCTGTTGGCAGCTGGAGAAAAATGATTGGAAATAACGCTATCTTATTTCTATATAGTTAAAAAGACTTGCCTATTTCCCCTTGGGCTGATGTACTTATAACTGCAACGGCTCACCCCAGGAGCAATCCGTTCTCTTTCCAAAAACATTCTACTACCGCTGTTTCTGTAATCTCCGAGTAATCCACAACCATCCTGTAACAACGTAGGGGATCCATAACGAACAGCCGATTTATCCAGTTATTTTTCAAAATTCTTGTTTATTTATTCTACGATTATTATCGTCATCGTTATTATTTGATACTTTCTTTTTCATAATATTTTATACTCATTACCCTAAAGCGTCGAGCGCAATTCTGAGGTACGCCCGCCGTGTCGTTTTAAATCTGCAGGTATTGGCGCATGCGTGCGTATTTCAGGGTTTTTCATCAGTGCGAATACATTTATGTGAATTTTCGCAATCCAAGTTTTCTCATGTATTTATTGAGGGGATAGATAATATCAGTAGAATGTTGTCTGTCTGTTGCTCTTGCGAATGTTAAGGTGATTATTTCGGAAAGTATTGGTGTCGAATTGAATTCCATATTTCCTTATTTCATTATGAAGTGTATTTATTGGTCTTCTTCCTATCTAGATTGTGTTTCCTCAGAAAGCAACGGCCTTGAGATGAGTAAAATTTTGAATAAAAAATATATTCTTAATTATATAAATAAACAATTTAACATTAAACAAATAGATCTATACACACACGCGCGCACACACACACACACACACACGCGCGCGTGCGCACACACACGCGCGCACAGACACACACATATATATATATACATATATATATATATATATATATATATATATATATATATATATATATATATATATATATATATATATATTGATTTTCTAAGCGTAGCTTGATATAGCACATGGCCAAGGTATGGGGCACCCAATGAGTATCGAACTCACTATTCAGTCGTAATTGTTCTAGTGAGACAAGCCGGGGTACTATATATATATATATATATATATATATATATATAGATAACTAGACTCGTTTCGAAAAACCCTCGAATTTTTGATTTGCTAATCAAATCAATCTCGAGGGAAAACTTTCCCTGACGATCCGTTTAGGTGAAACCTAGGTAGGTTTGTCTGGCTCACTAGGTGTATCTATCTATCTATCTATCTATCTATCTATCTATCTATCTATCTATCTATCTATCTATCTATATAACTGCAAAAGGAAACTTATCTTAGCTGACGCGTTTCTCGTCCTCCGTGGGACTTTGTCAAGACAAATGCCATGGTTTTTATTTTTATAACAAAATATTGTTCTTATACTGATATAGACTAGCAGAAATTTATATATATATATATATATATATATATATATATATATATATATATATATATATATAGTGGGTGCTGGCTGTAATAATAACATTGCTTATTTTTTAAATTAAAGAGCTAAGAATAAATATACAGTTGTTCTTCACAATTCTCATGCACAAATCACAAGAATTAAAAAAAATGTTTTGCGTGATGATTATTGAGTGCTCTAAACTCAGTTACATCGAGCGATTCTGAATAAATGTATATTTATTCTTTGTATATATATATATATATATATATATATATATATGTGTGCGTGTGTGTGTGTGTGTGTGTGTGTGGATGTATATATAGAAACATGTCAATGAAAACGTTTTATAACTTATCACTTGTTGGGGCCTTGTTAGGGCCAGAAATAAAGACACAAGAGAGACACAAGATTTAAAAAATATATTAACAGAAACACTAATACAAGCATACATACATACATATACATATATATATATATATATATATATATATATATATATATATATATATGCTTACGATCGAGAATTTGAACGGACTGTTCATTATCAAATATTTGGAAATTTAATATTTTCTGACAGTATTTCTTTTTCAATTACACTTTTACACTCGATCTATCTTAGCTTTTGATAATACATATAAGAGGACAATTTTGATGGAGCTTAAATTCGGAAAGTAGAGCTGTATGAAAAAATAATAACGCGCGTGGCTGACTAAATATTTTCCTGTTGAGGTTAGCTGTAGAAACAACATCCTAAGGTGCGCTCCTATATGGAGCGCGTCTTAGGATTCACTGGAATCAAGGAGAGAAACGTAAGCGTAAACTTAAAGGATATCCAAATAGCAACCGAAACGACGAGCCTTTCACTCTGACTCAAATGAAATGGTGAATGTTGATCAAAGCAAATATCGAAAGAATACAAAGTAGTTGACTGGCTGTAAAACAGTAGAATCAGGTGATAGGTCCTCACATCAGTGAATGAGCCGCAGCGCAGTAAAATCCATCGAGATGCACGCCCTGTTGACCCCAAGAACCTGGTATACGGTATACGAAACAGTCAAATGACAGTAATCTGTTTTTAAATTCTACTACCCCAAAAGTTTGAGTAGACGCCATTTTTTTTGTGAATTACGCGCTTTGTACGTTGATTGATTTATGGATTTGGTTTTTACGGCCTATCAACCCTTTCTCGGTTAATTAAAGCCGAATCATATTTTTGATTGTAAGAATAATTCTTTAGCGAATTATCAGTTTTTGTGAACAACAATGATTTTCAGGATGCAAGTCATATTATTTAACCCATATCTGCGTAAGTGAATATAAGTGCATTTAATAAAGAAAATATGCTCCCCGGAACACACACATTGTTGTATATATATATATATATATATATATATATATATACACACACGCACATATATATATATGTGTGTATGTGTGTGCGTACGTGTGTATGTATTTGTGCATGTATGTATATGTGATTGAATTTTTTATTGTTCTTTATGTAAATCAGTCAATTTACATCAGAAGTTTACCAATGTAAAAAATGCCCCCCTCCATATATATATATATATATATATATCGGCAAAAATCCTGGGATTTAAAGTATAGAATCAGAACTCAAAATTAAACAATACACTTGTGTGCCTCCGAAAACATTCGTAATCTCAATTTTGATTTGAAAATGTTCATAAAAAGTGAATATTATTTAGATGAAGATGCACTGAAAGTATCAGGAAGTATGAGTGTTTCTAACGATTAATATTTCACTATATTCCCTTTTCTTGATAAATAAATATTGAAACATTGTAGGAAAGAACATAAAAAAAATCGAGCTGAAATCTGTTCATATCTAATTCTATAACGATACAACAAAAATAATAATGCATTCAGATATTGACTGGGAATCCTCTTTCGTCTCGCTAATGTAATATTTTGTTCTTGTGAAATAAAATCCTTTTTCTGATGATACCGGAACATCGGTGTAACATGTCAATGAAAACTTTTATAACTTATCACTTGTTGGGGTCTTTGTTAGGGCCAGAAATAAAAACACAAGAGAGGAATTGAGTTAAACAAATATATTAACAGAAACAGTAACACAAACATATAAAACGAGAGTGTTACAGCACGAATGTTCGGTCCGACTGTCAGAGCTGACTGCTGGAAACTTCCCTCTTCAAAAAGGCAGTACCTGCTCCTATTTATAACTGGAAGAGTCCATGTATGCATGGGTAAATTACCATAATGTCACTCATACACACGGCCGTTTGGGAATACCAGGCGCTGTAAACTTGGATGTGCAGGTGGTGTAATCGATAATAACTCGGAACTGTTAATCGGGGAGCCGATTTTCAATTTCAGCTGAATCTGTTATATTCACTTACGCGCAAATAATATTGGCATAGGTATGAATACGCCTATTTTTCCCCAGGAGTAATGAGTAAGACTCGTATCGCTAAGCTATTATCATCTAAAAAAATTCTTAAATATAAAAATTATTTTATGGCTTTAAATAACCTGTGAAAAGTTGATAAGCCGTACAACTCGAATCAACCAACCAAATCACACTGTTACTATTTCTACTATTCAGACACATCTATCGTTCGTGTCTTACATGGCATAGACTTGAAAACCTAAATAAATAGAAAATATTGTGACCCAACAGTGTGTATTTTATTTTCATATGATGGTCTATATTTGGTATGTTCCTTCTGTGTGTGTCGCAGCTAACCATAAAATCATATGACCTATCTCCATCTGTTACCCTAAATCCACGCTCTCAGTCTTGCCGAAAGGCATATCTGAATGAACAGTTGCGTACCAATTAAAGTGAAGTAAGCTGAGTGCATGCAACATTCAATCAGTTAAAATATTCTAGCTACTCAATTACAAATTTACTAGACGAGTGAAAACTGTCTCAATGTAACGCCCATGGTGCACCGCCTCACAAGCAGGCTTCGACCGGCGAAAGGAGCTCTGACAGGATGCATTAACATACACAGTATCTGGTCGCCTTGGGCTTTCCAAGCCACTGGATATTAGTTGTGTGAACGAAGATAGCACCGCTGGTGATCTATATGAACCGTTCCCAACCAGCACTTCACTTGCGCGGTTTTACTTACTTTTTTTAATCAGTTTTCAAATCCATTTGCGATTAGAATGAAGACGAGACGTGACTGATGAGGTGGAGAGGCACTTTGAGGCATAAACATGAGTATTTAGTCTCTATTACTAGCACTCAAATACCTGATAGTCTATACTTGAGTCTGATCATTGATTGATTGATATGTTTTATACGGTTTATCAACCTTTTGCAGGTTATTTAAAGCCAGAGAATATCTTTAGATTGTGAAAATTTATTTGGCGATAATAATGATTTATTGATAGAAGTTTTACTAATTAACCCATAGATGGGAGAGAAGAGGCGGATTCATGCCTTTCCCAACGGTAAGTGAATATAACGGACCTGATGGGAATTGAAACTTGTCTCGCCAATTTCCAATTCCTAGCCAGTATCCATTACACCTCACGCACATCAATGCTTAAAGCACCTGGTATTCCCAAGCAGTCATCCAATAATAATCGTTCATACTTGGTACTATACAAAAGAAAATGTTAGTCATTTATATTTGAGTCTGTAGGTATTAACTTGGTTTGGAGATAGGCAAACATTTGTCATTTATTGTTGACTTTATAAGCATTTACTTATATATGTAACACTTTTTGGGGGATGGTCTTAACATTTTTCAAAGGATGTATTTTCGCCAACAGGGTAGATTTCACATGAGAGGGTGTCACTGAGAGACACATTATATAGAAAGAGTACCTAAATGGACTAGATCTTCTCAGTCTTTCCCTGAACCATACTTCTGTGTAACTAGCAGTATGGTCTATCTCTCAATAGTTAAAGAAAAAAAAACATGGATTCAATCTAAATTCAAATATTGGTATCTGATCGATTAGATAATTACAAGAAAATCAGAGTTGCGAGACGTAGAGCTAAATGTGGAGTTGACCATTGTCTATTCACCTTCAAGTTTATAATTTACCAATCGATTTATAAGAAGTAAAAAAAAGAACATCCATTACTCCTACTTTCGATTTAACCAGCAGAATTTCAAGATTGGCTAGCAGAATCCCTTAAGTAAATTCTTAAACGCATCACTTGAGCACATCGACCAGTTGACAGGAATATAATCAGTTCTTTTTTATTAACACTGGACAATTTAGCAGATGAAGATATTTGAGGGACCAGAAAAGTGGCTCGTACGAAAGATATTGAGAATATCATGAAGTGAGCATATGAATAACGAGGAAAATAGATGCTTACACTTAGAATCAGAAAGAGACAGTTGAATTTCCAGGGAGACACAATGTAAAACGCGGACTTGTAGAATTTAACAATCACAGGATATATTGACGACAAGCAGGAAACAGTGAGTAATTTGCGTAACAATCTTGTGTAAATGGATGGCAGAACATTGAGTGGGGAGAGAAAGCTTACTAAGGGCTAGACAAGATATTAAAACAGGGTCAGCATCATCATAAGCAGCAGCATTCTGAGCAGCTGAGAAATTTGACTAGTTCCCTTCTTAGATTTGGGTTCAAAGTAGGAGAGGTATTAATTCATAGGTAGCGTTTCTTTGACAAGTTGACCCGGCGGAGCCCATCTCTCTCCAGGTAAAATCACTGTCAATGTCCGCCAAGTTGAAGTTGATCACTCACATGGGGTCGTTGAGGTCGTCGAGAGAATTCTCTACTCTGGCCGTTGACTTCAAGCTTTTCGCCCAGCGATGTCTGGTCATGATCCCATTGGCAGCATGCATAGCTATGGAGCCCAGTTTACCACTTTGTGCTCAATTGTTGTTGACCCTAAAGTAAGGTTTATTTATAATCCTGATGGGTGTCTCATTACTCTTACCAAAAAAGCCTGGCAGGAGAACTATGTAACAGGTAATACTGGGATTCATGGTATCATTAACACTCGTAAAGTTACCTGACATAAAACAAAATATGCTCTCTCATACAATACAATTGTCCCACTCGATTCTACAGATGGCAAGAAAATGAAAAAAAAAAAAAAGAAAAAAAAAGGGAGCAAACTTAACATCAGGATGCGACTGCTAAAATTTCTAGGACACAGGAAAAATTTGCTTGCAAAATTTGATACACACAGGAGAGATTGAAATATAGTGCAAAACCTAATGAGCTGGTTTGTGCTAATGGATAACAGACCAGGGTTTAAGAGTGATAAAAAAGAGAAAAAAAATACTAATAAAAAAAAATTAATATGAGCTACAAAGAGGAAGGGGATTGTGGATAGCTGTAATGGCTAACATTCTAAAGAGACACGGCATATAGTAAAAGACGAAATATCTAGTGGCTTTCACTGGAAATCAAATGACAAGAAGACTTCTCGACGTTCATGTTTTTAGTGATGTTATTTTCTGAATGGATATTTGGATATTCAATTTTTCCAAGCTATTCGTGAATAATGATAGATATATGTGTCACCTTCATATTCTTCGGTAATTTTAATATTATATATTCTCTCAAGTTCTCAAATTCTTATTCTCTTTGAAAGAGAATAAACAAGAAAACAATTTTTCTGCTGGGTTCAAAAGTTTCCATCAGCCATTTACTATTTCCTTTATAATTATAAGGCTACGTGAAAGTTTAAAATAATGATGTATCTCTAAAGGCTAGAAATAAAAGAAAACATTTTCTATCAGAATTTCTGAGGAGTTATCGTCATTTACTATATTTATAGTAAGACTAATGTATTCATCTTTGTTGTTATTATCGCAATGTTTGCTGTATACCTAGCAACAACCAAGCAGTACTAAAAAAATAAGTAGCAATAACTAAGCAGTACTTAAAATGAACAAAGCGAGGTATCACTAAACATGAGTAATAAAACAAATAAAATCTACTCCCGTCGATCAAATAAAGTGTTCAGATCGAAATCCCCTGAAGATTAGTTTGATCGACAGATATCTGGAGAAGGACAGAAGCCACAAAGTTCGAAACATTGTGATAATAACAAAAAAGATGAGGATATTAGTCCAACTGTAAATAATGTAAATAAAAGAAAATAGGTTTTGTTTAATAGATTGACGTTGAGAAAAAACTCATTTGAAAATCTCTGAAATTTTATTCACTAATTAATTATTTCCTCTCCCAATGCCTGTGGATGGGTTTGCATATCGTCTGGTTCCCGTTCCTTCCAGTTCTTGAATAGGAGTGGAGGTTTGTCCTTTATTTGGGATTGAATTTCTGATTTCTTCTGAAGTTCATTTTAACTCTATACTTCTAACGTCTCCGCAAGAACTCTGAAATTATTATTCACTAATTATTTTTTATCCTTTCCTAAAAGGAGTAGATAGGTTCGCCTATCGTCCAGCTCACTTCTTCCCGGTCTTTAAAACAGGAGGTTTATCCCTTGTTTCCTGTTTAGGATTGGGTTTCCGGTTCCTTCCAATGTCTGCTTCCACTATATTTCTAATGTCTCGGACTGAACTGAAGTTTTATTCACTAATTAAATCTTGACATTTTCAAGTCTATAGTTAACCGTTATCTTTCCTGTATAGCATCAAGAACTTCACTTCTTACCCTTTCTTACGCTCATACAGTAACATACATTAACCCACTACCTTGAGTGGCTCCTTGGCCTTGCATTTGGTGAATATTAGAAAAAAAACTTTAATGTAAGTAAACAATATCAAATGTAAAGTGGTTTTTCATGCTCAAGAAAACCATTTCTCAAGAAGTCATCCTTACAATATGTTCCCTGTTTCATAAATTCCACTGACAAAAGTGGTCTGTGTTCGAGCCCAGACCAAGTACAAAGGTTTCGAATATTGATTTTCTAAACAGGTAGGAGTTTCCGATTTAAAGATTTGGCGCATCATAATCAGTCTATTGCCAATTTTATTCTAAATGAACCTATGTCAAAGAAAGCTAAATTCAGTATCGACCAGGAGACATCTTGCCAAAAGAATATCTCCCAAAAAGAGACGGCTTGCTTGTCCTTAAAAATTGGCATTCAAAAGAATTCTTCGAAATGCTTGACGAATGGAGCATTTGGTTATTTCTTACCAGTTAGAGTTAAGTGTTCAAACCGAAGGTAAAAAGCCAGAATTCTCTTCTTTTTATGATTCAAAAATTAATACCTGCAGAGATAAGTTTTGTTCATAGTCATTGGATTAATGTGATTTTAATTTTTTTTTTTTGCAATTACAGTTGGTATGTCCATTAGAAAAATAAGTTTTAGTGGTTTGCATTGATTTCAATCTGATGCAATCAACAGATGGCCGCTACAAATGGAGCAAAATTTTGTAGTAAGTTCGAAATTGAGTGTTTCCGACCAAGACAGAGAATGAGACAGACGAAAGCAGTTTTAGTAAATACGTATTTATTTGAAACTTACTGGATGCCTTAAATTTTGAAGTCCCCTTTTATTTTGAACTTATGCCAATCTAAACTAAGCTTAATAAATATTTATTTCCGAGGTTACCACGTCGAATAACATTGGCTAAAAAAGAAACTGTTTTGCGGAAGATCACTGAACGAAGATTGAAACTTACTGGATGCAGTAAGTTTACATCCTTGGACGAGATTTAACTAAACTCTAGTTAATCTGAACCCGATTTCGTTTCACACGTGACGAAAATTTATGATGTATATGCATCTTCTGAAAGGTAAAATATGAATGTCATATGCAGGGCAAGTATTTCGAGAACGAACTCGTGGCTGAGATAGTTACTTGCTTCATACTAGTGATAGATGTCAGTGTTCCTGTCCAGTTGATGGGCATTTTTTTTAATTAACTAAGCCCTTGTCTGATAGAACTATGCGAGGAGATATCGGAAAATATCCAGTAGCTGGTGTTCCCAGCGGTACCCTATTTGAGTACTAACCGGGCCCGACAGTGCTGAACTTTGGTGATCGAACGGGAACCAGTGTTTGCGCAGTATATAACCATAGACTATAAGAGAGAGAGAGAGAGAGAGAGAGAGAGAGAGAGAGAGAGAGAGAGTGTGTGTGAGAGAATAATTGGGGGAAGATGGATTAATGCCTTTTCCAATAGTGAAGTAAACAAAACATCAATATACGGGAATTTGAACTCATCTCTCCGATGCCACTTTTTGTGCGTATACTCGTTTTGCTATGATAATGCGGGCACGTGTGTTCAGACACACACACACACACATATATATATGTATATGTCTATTTTTACTTTAATTCTCTCAAATTTACGGATCCGTTTCTTAGTGCTGTTACAAATATATGTATTGTAGACGACATTCTCATCTTATTTAAAAACATACACGCAATACATGAACTACAAAAAACAACTTATATGAACTTAATAATAACAACAGAATTCTTTTTCTTGATATATTGATAGACACCAATAATAATACATTTGCTACCTCACCATATAAAAAAAAACTAACTAGCATAATCACGTGCACTCTCAACTATAAAAGGGAATGTCATTTTACAAAACAGCAATTATACAAAATTTAATAAACCGTGCAAAAGTTAAATCTTCCATGAAAATATTTTTTACACTGAATTAAAAAAAATTAAACAAACTCTGATTAATAACGACTTTCTTAATTACATTGTTGATGAACAAATTAGACAAGCTTTTAGAAATACTAACATAAATAAAAAAGAACATAATTCTTCCCCAAAAAATTCTAAACATATCAACTTACTATAACGAAATCAAATAAACTCTAACTACAAACAAGATGAAAAAATCTCACAAGTACCAATATATCCAACACTGATTCCAGTAAACAATAAAGCTAATTATATACTATACTAAATTTAATACAACGAACATAATCACTCGCAATAACTGTTCTCTGTCAATTAATGTTTTGCAAAAAACCAACATCGTATATCAATTTAAATGTCTTTTGGGTGATTGTGTCTATGACCAAAACATAAATATATATGTTCAATATTTACATTATTCGGACTATTGTCCTCATCTTTGTCGCCATATTTATCACAACGTTTCGGCCGTTGTACGCTCCGGCCTTCTTCAGGTGGTTGGAATATCAAACTGAACCCTTTATTTCGCTCACTGGGGTAGACTGTTCTAGTTCCACGTGCCATGTTTGATGGATGTCAGTTATCAGTTATCTGTTAATTTTCCCTCTAAAAGTTCTCCACTGCCTTCCCCTCAAGGACACATGGCACAGTGGATAAAGGCGTTGGTTAGATTCAGTGACAAGACCCAAAGAGTGTGAGTTCAATACCCGGTTAAGGCAGTGGAGAACTTTCAGAGGGAAATTAACAGGAGATAACTGATAGCTGACTTCCATCGAACATGGCACGTGGAACTAGAACAGTCTACCGCAGTGAGCGAAATAAAGGGTTCAGTTCGACATTCCAACCACCTGAAGAAGGCCAAAGCGTACAATAGCCGAAAGGTTGTGATAAATATGGCGACAAAGATGAGGACAATAGTCCAAATAATGTAAATAATGTACATAATACCTCATCTCAGAAATATAGACAGAATATATATGTTGTTTTCACAATGACTACACTATCAAGAAGACTTATTTTACACATATCGGATTCAAGTTCGATTGCACAAAATTTGAAAAACATTCCTGTCCACATTCATGTTTTACTATACTCCACCATGAAATTAAAAAACAAACCTTCAAATTCCCAAAGTGCTCTACATAAAAAAATGAAACCAACACTAAATAAAATTAATTATGGGTATGGCAACAATGTTTTCAAATGTCTGTAAAAGCAAAGTTTTGGGATGGTCAAATTGTAAAATTATTTTTTCTAAATCGCTGGTTAAGTATTTTTAAAATATTAATAATAAAAAAATTAAACTAAGTTACCTTCTTTATATATTCTTAACGTAAACCTACTATAACGGAGTAAGTTTCATACACATTTACAAAGAATTCACAACTATCTATTACATTAATTTTTATCTTAGCAATTCACCACTGAAGATGATATTGGATTAGATTGAAAGTATCTCAGAAAATAAAAATACGACGTATTTCTTACACGGTTTGGTAACAGCACTATGGAATTGATCCGTGAATTTGAGAGAATTAAAATAAAAATAGACATATGTCTAGATTATTCAACCAAACATTCTTGAATGAAGATAAGCTGCATATATATATATATATATATATATATATATATATATATATATATATATATATATATATATATGTATAAACGAAAGAGCCAGAGAGAAAGAAATGAAAGACTATGTTAAATAAGAGACGTCATAAAATGTAGCAAAAAGACAAGGAAGAAAAGAAAAGTCAAATTACATAACAAAGATAAGAATTAAATCTGTTAAAGTGATAACCTCAGTAACAAAAAGCGTATAAAGGCATAAAATTAACTTTTTGTCGTCGAAGAGATGTCTGTGAATGTGTGTTTATCATCGAATCAATGTGAGGACATAAAGTAATTTATTTGTCTGTATCCGCGTATGCATAAGTAAGTACGAGTGTACGTGTGGCTTCAAAAAATGGCGGTGAGCGTTCATTTATTCACTGATGCTGAAATTTTATTCACCACGCACATACGCTGGCAACAGGATATACAGTAGTTTTCCCGACTACCTTCTTCTATCGGGTTTATGTTATTGTATATATGAAACCATCGTTATATATTCATGTCTTTCGTGTGTGTACGTGTTTATGTGTGTGCGTTGCATTTGAATCTGCTGTGGACATGTGTGAGTCTGGTATCATCGTGCGTTGTGTGTCAACAGAAAACACAGGTGCAACTTGGCAAACGAAGCCGCGTCGAACGTTGTGGAGCGGTTCGACGTCCCACATTAATCGTTTTTCGTTGCATGGGCGAAGCCGTGGGGATGATTATTACATGTCTCCTCTCGGGAAGAAGCAGTTCACTGAATGGGACGTCGGCCATCCACGGTCGGGGTCTCGTGCACAGCTGAAAATGTTTCCACCGGTTATAAAAGGCCACCGTCGGCACGTGTCCAGCCTTTAAACGTTGTCAGAGGGGAAAGAGGAAGGGGTACGCATATAGATGAGCCTCACCCATTAAACAAGAGGTAGAGGAAAATTGGGGTGGGTATTTGTTATAGCAGTAAGAGTAGAGAGAAAACCTATTTGATTGTTCGACGAAATGAAGAGATTGTGAAAGTTCTTCTTTGTACCGTATCCCTTTAGAACGTTGTCTATCATGACTCTCCACAACTTCCCATCTTCGTGGCTCTTAGCGTTTTTCCTTTGCCAAAACTTCACCCCATCCCGTTCCGGCAACTATTCACACAAGCTCGCAGATAGGTGGCCCGCTGACTTCACCTATCTCTTGGCTTCGATATGCCCTGGGAGAGTTATTGCGCAAATATATATATATATATATATATATATATATATATATATATATATATGAATAAAGGAGTTTTAAATTTTAAAGCGTTAAAAAAGTAAACCCACACCTAAGATATTGAAAGTAACTGTTATCCAACTATATATATATATATATATATATATATATATATATATATATATATACCTATATACCTAATAATCCGTGGATAACTTGTTGATGCAAATACATTTGTCAAAAAATGTATTTTCATTGACAAGTCCCAGGAAGAATCTTCAGGGACTAAATGGCCGTCTGAATGGGGTAATTTGGTCTTTATTTTTGTAATTCACACACACACACTCTCTCTCACACACAGATATATATATATATCTATATCGATATCTATATCTATCTATCTATATATATATATATATATATATATATATAATAAAATTTAGTTTAATGTGTTTAATATTTATGGGAAATCGTGCTCAATATCAGGGAGAGAATATATCTAAATATAAAAGTATTTATATATATATAAAAAGATTAAATAAAACTTTGATTTACCGACGCATTTCGTCCTCTGATGAGCGTTATCATATTTTGATAAAATTAATTAATGGGTAAAACGCTTTTGCGTTAAAGAATAGTTTTCCTTTTATTTTTATTTATATTGATTTTTACAGACATATTTTCTTTATATCTGAATTTTTAAATAAACATTATATATATATATATATATATATATATATATATATATATATATATATATATGTGTGTGTGTTTGTGTGTGTGTGTGTGTGTGTGTGCGTGTGTGTGTGTGTGTGTGTGTGTGTTGTGCGTGTCTGTAATAGCGCTCAGTGAATGCTGGCGATAATAATAAAACAGTGATGCATATAAAATAACATAACTACAATTTATACAAAGAATAAATATACATTTATCCCTCACGGTTTCGTTTGATGTAACTCTTAATTTTGTGCACTTGAAAATCATCAGGCACAAATAAAAACACTGGCGATTGTAATATTTCATTATTTAAAAAACTCATGGCAAGAATAATGGATCAATCCATTTATAAAAATAAACTGTTAAAAATGAAGTAATTAAATATGCGTCTATATATATATATATATATATATATATATATATATATATATATATATATATATATAAAATAGGAATTTAGATTACATTAGGTTAATTTTATTTCAATTTTGTGACAATTGTAAATTGAAATAAAATTTACAAGAATTTTTCAAATCAGTCAGTGGATGATAAATTCTATATATAATAATGCACATTGAGTGCAGGTGTCAATAAAATAGTGCTCGATGTAATATAAGACCTATAAATTATATATTATATATACTTTTTTCCTCATAGGTAGCACGAATCAGTTTTATGTACAACGCAATCTTTTAGTGCTGAATTGAGACTAACCTTATATAAAATTTTATTAAATATATCAGGCTATCACAATAATTGCGTAGTGTATATTTTATATGGGTTTTGTTGTTTTTTTTAATTTGTATTTAAAATAAACATAAATATAAGGAAATAAATTTTATGCATCTTGTTTGTAAAAAATCAGTAAAATATAATCGTGCTAAC